AAGTTTTTACAAAAATTGATGTTTGAATGGGTTGAGTCTGAACTGCACCTCAACAAACTCTAAGGTCAAGTCTGCGATTAGATTGGTAATAATATTGTAATTATGCCGATAGTAAAAGCACTTAAACTTAAAGAGCTTGGTTAAGCGGAGTCAGGAGTCTTGAAATTTATAACATTTCACGAGTATTATCTTAAAAGATAAGCAAAAAATGTTTATTTCGCAACACTAAATCCAATAAATTGTAGGAAGGTAAGGCTAAAGTTTTGCTTTCAAATCTCAGATTCTCATTTTATCAAATCGTAGGAATTGTTTCCTGTCTTATAAGAATTAGACAGGTAAATGCGGTCCAACTGGATTATATAACAGGAAACCAGGTGGGAATATCACAGGCACATTCCGCCTTGGCGAACCTGTCGATTTTAAACGGCAAAAAATTGCGCAGGCGCATCTAGCCTCACGATGGCTATATTTCCATTTTAACTACTCTCAAAGTACGAATGTTTGCAATTATACAAATTGATTCCAGGTTTTGCCAAATAAATCTCACAAAGTAGAGAAAAGTTCGCCTCACTTTCCTCCTAGGTAGGTCATACATTCTTAAGAGGTAGAGTAGACCAAAATGATCAAATTGGTCCATCACCGGATTTTCACTATTTTAATCACCTCACGCAATTTTCGCCACGCCAGCCGATAAAAGGCATTTCGGTACTGTTCAGAGTAACAGATCAAGGAGCAGTTTTGAATACCCCTATTTCGCACAAACAATGTCTAGAGATAACTCATACCGGTTTTATTAGCAAAAAAATGTCTTGTTGATATCAACCGTTTCCAAACATATTTTGATTTGAGGAGCAAAAAACAGATCAGAAAAAGCAAGAAAAAAATAATTTCGAGGTTTGTTGGCAGGATGGCCTGAGAACAAAAATCGAATCAATCGAACTTTGGTGGCAAGGGTCGACAATTTGCAACCACTAAATATTGCGATTGCCGAACGGAGGACAAGGGGAACATGCTAATCACACCATTTTGAATCCACAGAAGATGGTGTACGGAGGTGCGAGTGAATCAGAAAACACTTCTATCCGCAAGGCAATCTCCAGGATGAACTTTGATTGCACATAGCAAAAACAAAGGAAACAGGCATGACTTTTGTAAGAGAAAGTATGGAGTACGACGAAAATCTCAGAGTTATGATACAACTAGCACTTACAGACTCAACACAACACTGTTCACAAATTGTTTCTCGTGCAAGAACTTCTAATAAGGGGATGGCCATAAGCAGGAAATCGCAAGCAATTAGGAATCAGAAAAGGATAGGCATACGATGAACAAGCAAAAATTAATGACAGAAAATTACTTAAGCAAGACGGGCTCCTGCTTTACATAAAACACTCGATAACAAAAAAATTGAGGACAAGATAGTTTTGAAAACAGTATACGAGGTAATTTTGCTTGTCCTGGGCCCCCGCTTCCTTCTTAAGCTTGAAATGGGAGCTAAACCATCATTATAATGACAAAGTCACCAAACCAATGTAAGGTTCATGCCCTATACAAAATAAAACGTAAATTAAGGGCCACAATCAAAATGCACCTTGCAAAATCATGCGATGTAGCTGTAAAGCTTGAGATCGTGAGCATCCCGCGCTAGATAATCTCGTTCAATTAACGACTCTATCCTCTTCTTGATGGAGACGGGATTTGGTAAAAACCGATGTTTGAGTTGTTGAGTCACCTGTGCAAATTCAATGATTTTTAAGTTAATGAGCTGCACTTCCTCCTTGATTTTTAATCAGAAGATGCGTTACCTCCGTGATGAGGTTGTTGTGATCAAGCACTTTCCTCGATTTCATAACACGTACAACTGCAGCTTCAATTTCATGCTTTCTGTCATCCTCAACCTGAATGAGCACATACAATCTCGCACCGCAACAAACAGCGCGAAAAGAATGAGATCAAGAAAAAATTACTTCCGTCTTAGTCTTTCTTCTCTCTGGTTCCGTTTCCTCTTTGAATGTTACTAACTGAACTCTTATTCGCGTCAACTTTGACTGGAAATTGTCGTTAACGGAAAATTCATCTGTGGTGTCTAAAAGTTAACAAATTTTAGGCTGGTTACGATTCGAAATCAAAAAGGTCGGTAAATAAATCAGTTTTCATCTGTTTTTTCTCCATGAAATAGCTACCAAATTTCTATCCTACTAAATCAATATATTGGAAAACTTGTAGGCTTTCAGAGACAGAAAGACGATAAATACATCGAAGGGAAGTCAAAGCTATGGAGCAAGAGAAAACAACACCTATATCTTTCCCTTTTCCTTTTCTGCATAACACACGCTGAGAAGGTTTTCCCATCGCCAAGGATTGCAGATTACGCTTCAATTCTCTGTCCGCAATACATGTTTGATCCTACAAAAGCTGAATGCCAAAACATGCGAAGATTTACGAGTTAATGATATTAGATAGTAATGTTGTTCATTAACCATTAGTGCTCGGAAGGTGAGATACTGCTGATTGTTGAAACACATAAGTATAACCATCTGGTGAGTATTAACTATGAGAATCTTAGTTTCTTCTTTCCGAGCTTCCCGCATATCCGAAGTGCGAGGCTAAAAAACTGCTAGAAAATAAACAAATTTGTAAACAATAACCCAGTTGTTTCC